AGGCGGCTTTATGATGGTAGAGGTGTGTTTCAGATACAAAAACGAGGGGACATTTGATTTTAGATTAAAGAAATTAATAAGCATGTGGAAATGTATTTTCCTGAGCCTGCCTTCATATATCTTCACAGTTTACCTCGAAGCAAAACTGGCAGTCACTGAATGAAGAGTATCTATGTAGGAAGTGGCGAGATTAAAGAACTCTTACTTGATTTAATGTTTGTTAAGAATAAGAAAAATGGACAGTTTTCTGTGATTGCCAAATAGGCATTTGAACTGGATGTTTTCATCCTTAAATTTTTGAGTGATATTTTGGTGTGGATTTCTTCTTATTTTGCTTCATCAGCAAATGAGAGCAAAATTTTTGCTTCATCACATGAGAGGAAGGGGAAAGGGAAATAAGGGAAAAGCTGTCTTTTGACAATAAGATGTGTAATGAAGTCCAACTGTCACAGTACAAACTGTAGCAAATGAGAGGAAAACTGATCTGATTTTATACTCTGGGTCCATTTCCCCAAGACATGAGAATGCTGGTTGTAGGACTCGATGTGTTTGAAGGCAATCAATCAAGACAAACGTCAGCACCCAAAGGCTTTCAACTTTGTAGGACTTGCATTCTCAGTATTTGATTCAGAAATTAATTTTGGTGTGTGGTTTGCGTTTTGTTTAAATATTTTTTCCTAGATGTTACTCATCCACTGTTTAGTTAGGTAGGCTGAGTTTTCACAATAGCAGTTAGAATTGATTTCCAGCAGCAATTTTAGTGTAACTTCTTGAGTAAGACATTCAGGTTGTTAGAAGAGAGGCACAGCTGGCATTTTCCACCCTGGCTTTTGCCCTTCACTTTTTGCTCTCTAAGCCTGAGTTTACCTGGAAAGTTTTGACTTTCAGCCATTTCCTTTTGTCTCCTTATGTCAGAAGTGTCACTCATCTGTTTTTGCTGCCTCTTTCCCAGACTCCCATGACATTTCCACTGTACTTTGGGAGCATACTAATGGCGCAGCACTAATGTGTGCCTCCTTTCACTCGCTGGCAAGGCCTGGGCTAATAGTTTGCTATTGATAGAAATGAACTCTTGAGAAAGATCAATTAATTTGTGGCCTCTCTCTTCAGTGAGTTGAACTATTTTGTTTGCAAGAGGGGGAAGAGAGAAAAATATCAACTCTTTGCTTGTAAGATGAAGCCAGTATGGAGCCTCAGTTGGAGTCAAGGGTTTTATGTGGATTTTGGGCGCCTTCCTCCAAGCCCTGAGCAGCTGGCAGAGCCCCATCCCACCCTGCAGTGCTGGGAAGAGCCTGCCCAGCAGGAAGGGGAGCAGCACCATCCTTCTCACTGCTTTGCTGTCGCTGAACAGGTCAGACTTTGAGATTTACCCCTTCTGCTGAAATAGAGGAAATGAGTGAATTATTCCCACTGGAGTCAGTGTAACATAATAGAGGAGCACACTACACAGAGAGTGATGCTGACCTTTAGGAAATTTCTTGAGTTCATGGAAATAAAGCTTGGCTTGCTTTGAGTGGCACGAATAAACGCTGCCTGTTGATTTGTGTTGTCATGCGGAGTGGCTGTCCTCGTAATCCCCGGCAGTTCTTAAAACTTAAGTGTCAGAATTGCTGCTGGATAGGCAGGAAGAAACCTCATAGCTCTTAAAAGCAAATTTCTAATCCAATTAGAAACTTTCAAATATCCCAGCTTTTCCTTATGAGGAAAGCACAAACAATAGAAATGCCACGCATGGGGAAATCAGGAGGGCAGGTTTTTTTCTGAAAGCAGATGGCAGATACCAAGAGTCTGTCTTGCTATCAGGAAAGCAAACTGGTGAGAATTGCATTTGGGATTACAGAGGAGCTTTTGGCTGATCAGTTTTGTTTGCTTTTAATCAAGTGTCATTACATTACCATTTAAAAAAAACCAAGCAAAAACCCCAAAGTGAATATAGAGGAAAAGTACAGGGAAATGCTTTAACCTGAAAAAAGCCACAAGTAGCTTGTGAACTGTTTGTTCTGGCACAAGCAGAGAAAGAAAACATTCCCTTTCTATGTGTTTTATAGGTAACACTTAATTGTGCAACCTTCAGCATATATGAAAGAAAGGTAGAATGAATATTTACATATCCACCATTCACTGTCCATTAAAATGTTAAATCACACTGTAGCTCCTGCAGATGTTTCATAACTGTGAAAAACGTTTTCTTGTGCACGTAGAATGGAGGTTTTCATTTTATTCAGGAGGAGTCAGGGTTGAATTTGCTAAGTGAAATGAATTACCTGTAGCTTAGCAGGCAAAAAAAATAAAAAATTCAGAGAACAATGGAGAGGTCAGTAAGTTTTCAGAGTAAAAAGGTAATCCAAAAAAAAGAGACATTTAACTGAAGATTTTCCAAAGGTATTTGGAGAGTGAAACAATAACTGCATCACTTCTGAGTTCATTGTTGTCATTCCATTTTTTCTGAATAGCTTTTAATTTTCTTTCAGATGAATTTGCTTGCCTTTTTATTTTTTCCTTAGTAAGGATTATTTTTTGTGTGTCTGAACTTTTTTCCTAACCTGCATTTAAAAAAAAAAAGTATTGATTGTATCTCGCCTTCCCCAAGAAGGTTCTCTATCATTTGCCAGATAGGAAGTTCACTTAGCAAAAGGAAATCTCTCCTTAGATCTAATTTGCACTGATTAAAGCCCAAATGTTTAAAAATATGGGTAAACTAATACATTTTTTTTTCCTTGCATGCTATGGCAAAGGTAAATACACACATTTAGGTTTGTGCATAGCTCCTGTGAAGTCATTAGAGTCAGCCTGTGGCTACTTCTAAGTCACATTTGTTTTATACATAATTTACAATAAATCTCTCCTCTCCTAGCCTTGTTGTCCTGGGAAAAAAAGTCTCAAATCACTTTGTTCTCGCTTGTTTCCCAACATTTGTTTAAGGGTTAAGAGAATAAACCATTGTGTGATGGTCAATGCCTTAAGCAATGAGGCAACAACCAACCTGCCACGTTTGCTTTGATGTTGTTACAGGATCTGCCAGAGAGACCTTAGGATATTTATGTATCCTTAAAAGAAACTCCCAAAAAGGTTAGATAATAAATATCACCATCTTCTGTGCTGTACTTCATTCATAACTTAGGCCCAGTGCCAGCATCTTGTTTTTCTTTGTCCCAAATAAATCCTGCCAGGTGGGTGAGAGGGAGCCCCTTCCGCAGCTGCTCAGCCCATTTATTGATTTACAGAGTTGAAGGAGATGAAAAATAACATGTCAGAAACAGAATATTTACATGCAAGGTGGCTTTTATAATTAAGATAACATTTTCTGTGTTGATTTATACTGAAATTTCTTGATTGAATTCCATGGAAAGGAGCTTAGACATGTCATCTTACCTTGATAAATCTAATTCTAACATGTAGTATCTGAAGTGCCTATAAAATCAGTAACTTAGAGAAGCTTGTAAATGAGAAACAATTGAAACTTATTCTGATTATTTCTTGACAGATCTTTATGTGCTTTCATGTTACTACAAGAAATAGAAAAGAATCTCTCTTTTATTACCTGTACTAACTCTTGCATTACACAGTTGTACAGCCACATACTATATTCACATTTCAGCTATTCTCTGTCTGGTTAATCAGTGGTGAGGATATTTATTGCTGGTGTATGTACTGGAAAGATGTAGAGAAAATACCTCTCTCAGTACAACAAAACAACCCTCTCAGTAAGGGCTGGCCTAGGTGTCTTACTGAAGGAATTTTTTGGGGCATTGCTTTGTAAATGCGCTCTTCATTACCAACAAAATAGAGTAAATATAAAATTAACTATTCTGGAAAATTAGATCCATCAAAAATCTAATATATTGTGACAGAACATCCAAGCTACTGTCTTTCAATTTGAAATTAATGTTTCTTATTTCAGCAAGAAAAAAACCCAGTCCATATCATTCTTGACTGCTTTCCACATCCAAACCACAGGACTCGTTCCCCAGCTTGGGGAGGCAGGGACAGAAACCAGCAATTTTGTAATAAGAGTGTTTGCCTGTTGCTGAAAAGTCTGTGGAATTAAGATGCTATCATCCCTTCTGCACACACAACACAGGCAGCTCCAGGCCTTCTGTAAATATTTGCTCTTTGCTGCGAATTTGCTAAGTTATTTTAATTACAGCAAAGCAAACAGGGAGAGCAGAGCTTTTGACATAATCTGCTTTATGTGCTTTTTGTTGTGGTGTCCCATAGTAAAAGCTGTGGAGTGTCACTCTGCTCTGAAATAAACTCTTGAGATGAGTTACTGAATCTTCAGCTGGTTAGGAGAACCATAAATGAGGCATTATTAAAAGGAAATGTTCATTCTAAGAATGGCAAACTGTTAGAAAATTTTATATTGACTTCTCAGTACAATTAAAATGGGTAAAGTTCTCAAAATGTTCAGAATTTTTCCAAGGGTGTTTTAAACCTAACTTTATGTTGTTAAAATTGTAATTGTAAGAAACAAGTTAAGCTTTTAATGAATGAAAAGGCTTTTATTGTGTTAATGGAAATGATTTTGGAATTTTAGCTTTTGCTTAAATTTTAAATATTGCTCTTTTTTTCTTTTTAAAATTTGTCTTTTGCACTGCTGTACATTTAAGGGGAGCACAATAGCTATGAAGAATTTTCTCCAGTAGAAACAGAAATTAACTCTTTTACTGTGAAAAGTTAGTGATCCTGAGTAGGAACAGACTTTGCAGAAAACATGAATATTTGATTTGGAAAAATAAATTAGCGCTCCATTTCAGGAGGTCCCTGTGACCAGAGATTTTAGCACCTACAGCCTTTGCTGTGAGATACTCACTTTTATAAACTTTTTAAAGAAAGGCCACCACAGCTGCCTTGTTTTAAAAACCAAGAACTTACTCTTGACAGTTAATCAATAAGCAACAAATGAAAAGTAATAACGCACGACCTGAGAAATATTGTTGTGATTCACAGCCTGAGACTGGGGCTTGCCAATCTGTTCTGATCAATCCATCTTCCCCTAGGTTGCACTGGCATCCACATGCCAGGGGAGGATGAGATTTTCCTGGACTTCCTTAGGAATGGAGAAAAGGAGAAGGAAAACCTGGAGTAGACGTCGGGAATACCCGAGGGAGGCAATCGTTCGCCTGGTAAGGAAATTGCAAGTGCTCTCAATGTGCTCTGGTTGATTCAGCCTGGTGCTAAATCTTCCCATACAGAGGCAGAATGATGAACAAACGAGCAAACATCCTAAATCCTGCTCAGAGGGATTCCTCTCCATGGGAAAAATGGATGAACTCGGCGCTGGGAAGAGGCGTCTTTGGTACAGCGTCATTCAGTTGTCAGAGGGAATAAGGAAACAGAAACATGGTTTTGTGAGGGTCATTTTTCCTTTGTCAGAGGACAGGGACAAGGAGCAACAGAACTTTTAAACTGACATTTAGAAATGATGGAGTTAGCAGGCAAACAAGTTTTGCAGGCGCTATATTGCAGCACCTTTCCCTGGGTAGATGGCAACAAAATTGCTTTTCATGGCCCTGCCCTTTATCAGCTATTCCTGAGCTTTCTGCCTGTAGTCTCGCTCTTGCAACTAATCTCAGTACCTAAAATTAATTAGGACATAAACACACCTAGAAAGCCTGTAAAACTTCATTTATGCCTGCAATATAAGCCAGAACATTTGGCAATGTTAATTGAAATGATAAAAAGCTTTTTAAGGCATCAAGAACTCTTCGAGTCAGTCCTCCCTACCTTGGTTTAATGGCACAGTAAATGCTTGTTTTTCTGGATATGATTATAGTTTTAAACACTAAAGAGTGAGCAAATTCCATTGTCTTGTGTCAGAGAATCCTCCAGAGAAGATAAAAAGGCAGTTAATAAACAAGATTACTTTCCAATGGCAATTGCTCCATAATAGAAAATTCTCATTCTAACCTTCTGCTTTAGGATGCTAATCAGTTAATCAGCTCAGTCCCACTGGAGTTGCTGGCAGCAGTTTTTCCTCCCGTTGGGAAAAAGTAAATGCAAGGTTTCTGCTGAGGTAAAGGAAGAAAGGAAGCAAATGGTAAAAGTGCCTGGTTTCCTCTGGAAGTGATGGCTTTAGGCAGTGATGCACCTGCAACACTGACCCCATTAGCAAGCAGCATACATAGACTACAGTAGGTCTGTTGAGCCTTTTTTTTTGTTTGATTTTTCTTTAAATGAAGTTAAAATACTATATTTGTATGTATATACCAAAGCAGGGAATAACATCCATGTTCAGGGGCTGGCAAGATTCCCACACACCTCTGCCTTTGGCAAGGTATTAATCTGTGCCACGCTCTGGTGTAGCGTGGCATCAATCACCCCTGCAGCGATACACATTTAGGACAACATTCAGAGGTCTTAGTTCCCCTTCATACAGAATCTTGTATTTCATTGCTAATTTACTATTTAATAATAAATGGAATACAGCTGTGGTATTTTCCCCTAGTTCCCTCTTATGTACAGCCAATGTTATTAGGTCCTGAGAACATTTGCTTTTTTGGGATGCACTCACCTCAAAACACATATTCAGTGTATATGGCTTTTTTCCCCTAAGGGTAAGAATATTCTATTAATTAAGATTTTTCTGTTGATAATTACTTAGTTTACTTTTTGCAGTAATTTTAGTGAAATTTGCATGCCTTGCTGCTTTATAAAAGTGTATATAGAAAGCAGTTTTTCATCTCATGATCTCTAGAAATACTTTCTTTTGCCCTGTGTTTATCTCTATTTCTTCTTACCTGTGTGATATTCCTAAATTCCTTGAAAGCAGGCTCGATCTGACATTCAAACTTGGCTGTATTAGCACATCCCAGCCTTTTCTTTCACCCCTTTTGCCCAAGATTAAATGCCTTTAGAAGAGGAGATTATTTATGGTAGCCCACTACAAGTTATTTGGAAAAAACCCCACCATGCTTCCACTGAGCCTGTGAGAGAAGAAGTCCAAGGGAGAAGTGATCAGTGAAGTTTTATTCAGTATAAAGAACAAAAGCTGCAGATTGTCAAAGGAACTTGGTATTTTTATGCACCACAAATGTAGCTGGTAACTGTGGCAGTATGTTTAGATATCTCTTTGAACTTTGTAAATAGCATGAAGCCAAGTTATATATGGAGTTAATTAAAAGCAAGTGTAAAAGATACCCTGTCACTAGTTACAGTGGCATCTGATTAACAGTGGGGAATATTCTGCTGTTGGGAAGAGATCTATCTAGGATGTCCTGGCAGAGTTTATTCTATTTGTGACCTGCTTGGAAGGCACCTGATTGAGTGACACCTTTGCTTCCATTGCTTTTGAGAGCTCCTTTCTTTCCAAAGACTGGCTTTTAAGGCTTAATTCAGGGATCTACTTAGAATACACCAATACACAGAAGACTGAGCTCTAAAAGGGCAGTTGCAAAATACTCTGATTTATTTATATTTATACTATGTGCTAATAGGTATATTGGACCATGGATCAGATGGCCAATTCTGAAACTTTGTTTCGAACTGCACAGTCAGAAAACACATAATCATGACTTTTTTGGATCTCTTAACCCTGCTCCTTTGATTGTTCTTCTGACTTCACAACTGCACTTTACTGCTCAGTGGGTAGGTAAAGGTGGTGTTAAGCACCGATGTTGGGAATGTTGTGCTTCTGCTTTATTTCCAGCAGATTTAAAGCTTGCACCTTCATTTATTAATCCTCGTATGTTGAGGAAGTCAACACTGTTCTTTTGTGTTTCCATCACATGCATTCCTCTTCTTTGTACACAACTACTTAGCTGGCATTAGACCAGCTCCTTTTTCACTATTTGAAATAAAAGCTGACCTGCTGACAGCAACGTAAGGGACCTTGCAAGAGAAAGCCCAGTGGAAGACTGAGTGCTAGCAATTATCTGGAGCTGCTGGTCCTCCAGCAGATGTACAGTATGACGCATTCCGATGTTCTCATACGCAGAACTTGCTGGGATGTTCTAAGGTTCTTAATACCAAAATCAGCCTAATCCAGAGGTGGAAACTCCAGTGGAGCCCTGCACACAGCCTCCTGTACTGCTTAAGGCTCAGTCTCTCCTGCAGAGGCAGGGATCTGGGACCAGGCTGCGAAGGAGATGTTCACATCTGGCTTCCAAGGTATTAAGGCGAGTCTGAGCCTGGAGGGCAAATCTTTCTGTAAACCAGGCATCAGCTGATGCCTGGGAGTCTTTGTATCCATTTTCCTGTTCAGCTGGCCCTTTCCATTGGGCACTGGAGGGCTTGCTTCAAACTACAGGCTGCTTTTTTTTCATCACAAGGTCTTGAGGATGGTAGTGCGTCCATACTTCACACAGGGTCCTGTGCCTCTGGTTTGTGGTGGTAGAAAGGATAAAAGCTAGTGTGCATTATTATTTTGAGTTTCATCAGCCTCTTTCTTACAATGCAAACTCTTCCTCAGCTAGTTTGGTTTGCCATTCTTCTGTACCTAATATTTTAGTTCCTTGGAATGAAGTCATTTCTGCTGGGTAGAGCTGAAACTGAAAAGGCCCCCCAGACAAGGTAAGTTCTTTCCAGCCAGGTACTCAGTGCTGGGCCTGATAAAGTTTTTTGAGGATCTCTGCCAGCTGTATGTGTTCTGGAGGCCAAAAGGCAATCTCAGCAAGTGCTTGCAGCGCTTTCTGTGCTGTCAGCAACACCTGGTCACATCTGTAGTGCACTGGAAGGTGTGGATAATGCAGAAGGTGCATTTATACAGAATCATTCTCACTGATGTTGCTTCTGCAGGACCAGGAGTTCAGAAATCAGTAGAAACCTCTTCTGAGTGAGCAGACGCCTCTTGGTAGTCAACAACAGAGTGTGGCTATATTTAGAGTGTTCTTTCAAGTTACAACCCACTGTATTGATATATTTTAAACAAATGCTTTCAATTAAGCCCAGTGCATTTTGCCTTCACCTCCCACTTTCCCCGGAGTTAGACTGATTTGTATGACACACCGTTACTTTTATTAGCAGATCATAAAACAAGCACTCTCTCCAAGGAAAAGCTTTGCCTCCTCTCCACAGGCTTTTAAGTGCCCCATAAACAAACCGGAGACGGGGTCTTGGTCACCATTAAAATCTCTCTGCCTGAGGAGTGTTAAAAAACCCCAAACGCTGCTGTGTAAGGTGGATGATTAACTACCCCAAAATAAGGAATTCTTGTGAAGGTCTGAGCTCCTCTGGAGCTGTAGCCATGTAAGGATTATGCTGCAGTTTGCTTGCTGTTCCGACTTATATCAGCTTTTGTGAGCTAATTCCCAGATCAATTAGGCATTCAGGCATAGAGAATAAAATGTAACTCCTTTTGTATGTAAGATCCAGCCAATTACATAAAAATGTGAACAAAAGCAGCACAAGAACACAAAAGTGCTCAAGCATCCATTATAAAGAGTTCCAATTTCCTTTCTAAATGTCAAGTACAAAATCTATATTTCACATGCAAATAACAGCGGAGTGTTGTTGCTAATATACTCCTGAAATTACATTTTCTTAGCATGACCTTTCTTGCTAACAATAACTTACATTTTAATTAAATCTGTGGCCACTTTCATTTCATGCTAAATGTCCCTGTGCTGTGTATGACTGAATTTTCATGTCAGAGAAGAAAGTTTAAAGGGCGCAGAACTACATTCTTCTTGGAGTTAAACTCCTTAAATAATGCACAAAAGAAATTACACGTGTGTACTATCCCTACAGGTTTGTAGAAACACAGAAACACTCTTGCTTTCACTAAACTCTTGGTGTCAGGATGAGAGAGGAGGATTTGACAGGGTTTTAACTTCAGTGAAATACCCGTGGAGCAAAAGAAACAAGGATGTAGTTTAGAATTAAATCTTGGCAGCTCAGCCTCGCTGCTGCAGCGTTCCTTAAAGGCTTTCTAATCCTTCAGGTCAGCTCCTGCCTGTAAAACAGGGAGCTTGGACCTTGCCTTTGGTGTGGACACGGTCCCAGAGCCAGAAACTCTGCTTTAAGCATTCTGTCACTTGACTTCTGGCACTGAGACATTTGCAAGCTGTGAAATTCTGTGTAGGTGTTTGCAGAGACTTGGGGAGAAAATACATTTAGTTCTGGCTCTAAAGAGGCACAAAATAACACAGATCCAGACTTCTGCTAGGCTGATTATTGGGAAACTCTTTGGAAAAGATTTCTTGACGCTGACCTCTGAGATGAGAGGTTGAAGGGGAGAATGGAATTAATTCCTGGAGGCAGAGGATCTTTGCCATAGTTAGTTCATTGTTTATTGTTTATTTTTAACAGTACAGTGACAGTGATAGTTGCCTTGTACCAAGTCAGAATGCTGCCTGCTGGTAGCAGAGTTACAAATCAAGCAAGAAGTAGAAATAATCTATCACATCTTGAAAGAATAAAAGCCTTCCTGGAGGTTTTAAAGAGCCGTGAAGCTTGGATGGAGCAGGTTTTTTTAGCTACAAAGTGAGTTTCTCATATAGCTGCATTTCACACCTCCTTACAGGGTCTTGGGGATTACAAGTGTAGTTTTATAAATATTTTCTATCAATGACTTTGGTGACAGGTGGCCTGAGGGCAGGTAACTTCCCATGGAATCTCCTGCTGTGTCTCCCAACAGGAAGATAAGCTGCATTTACAACTCATGTTGTCAAGTTCCGGAGCAAATCCTTTTTGTGAAGGAAATATAATATTATAATAATTATAATAATTATAATATAATTATAATTTTATTGTAAAAGAAGCTGTTGTAGTTGACTGTTGTGATAGCATGTCCAGAACTTTTTTTTGTTTTGAGAATTCACAAGGAATTAATTTGAGCAATTCATTGCTTTAAGTGTTATCTAAAAAGCACCCACCTTACCGAGTTTTTCTTATTTGTCAGACACCAGGCACTAGAATGTGTGTTTGTTCCTGAGTTTTCAGGGTTTGAGGGCTTTTGTTGTTGATGTCTTCCTTTATCATAGATTACATAATGATGACAAGAGATGGACAAAAATAAATAAGAGCAACAACAACAAAAAAGCAGTGACATAACCACAGCTATTTCCTCAGCTTATCATAGGGGAATCATCAGCCAGGGGAAGAAGACAAGCAATGAAGTGTGTACCGCCGAGGTCTGGATAACTAGAAGCAATTTCTGATCAGACTAAGCCCTTGCTTCACATCAGTGCATCTCTAAATAAAATAAGAAACAACCCCATGGCACTATGCTTATAAAAAGAAAAATATGGAGGGGGGAAAAAATAAACAGCCCAGGAGTGTTATCCTGCAGTTGCACGCAGTGATGTGAATAGAAGCTTAACAGTTTAATTAAGCTTGTTTTGGGCTCTCTTGATTCTCAGGAGCTTTGAAGAAGGCCTCCCATAACTTGCTGTTGGGGCCAGCTGGAAAATATTCAAGCGAAGTTTGGCTTCTGGCACAGGACTCTGATGAATCTCTTCAAACATCTGCAGCAGCGCACCAGGAGCAATGCCTGCTGGAGAGGAAATTTAAGATGGAAATTCCTCCAGTCAATGAAAGTTGGCAGTGAGCAGAGCGTTGCCTGGGAAGTAACGCTTCCCTCAGGGTTGGCAGGATCAGGACCCATGAAGGTGACACAGGGAGGTGACACAGCGCTGTCTTGGGCAGCTCTGGCATTCCCAGGTGAGGCAGATATGTCCCATAACGTTTTTGGAGGAGAAATGAAGGAGCAGGAAGAGGTTCAGCTTCATTCTCCTCTGTTGAAGTGGCAGCTGGAGAATAAATCAAATGGAGCATCCGGCATAAGCGCTCATTCTAAAGAACAGCATGAGTTTATTGAGGGATAATGTATGTGAAATGCCTCCAGTGATCTAAAACCTCGGAGTGGCCTGCAGCCAGAACCCCATAAAACATTCACTCGTGCAAGTGAAAATTTGCCTGGCAATAAATGGCTCTACTAATTAGGTTTTGAAAGGGGCTGTCAACCTTTTCACCTGATTAGAAAATAGTGAGGCTCTGCATCCCCAGCTTCACGCTCTGGTCAACTCCACCACTTCTGTTTAGATGAGTTGATGTGGCAGAATAAAGAAACAAGGGAGAAAATGTTACCAAGGTATTTTGTGAAAAATTTGTCTTCCTGAAACTAGCAGGGTAATTTCTTGGCGTAGATACTTCATTCTCAACAGCACCATCTCTGTGCTGTGCTTCCTCTTGGTGTGATGCTCGAGAAAGAGCAAATAGAATAAGGCTGCAGCCAACATCTACAATAAGACATGGAAAAGGTGATTTTTGTGTCCTGTTAAGTGAGGGGAGGGTTGTGGAGGTCAAAATCCATAAAGATTTTTGTTACAAATTAAGCAGCACTGATAGGAGTAGGGAGTAAAGAATGTAATTGCCTGTTGATATTTTTCGTCTCCAGTGTCTGGGTGGTGATGCTGGACATTTCTGGCTCCTTTTACCTCGGGTTGAGGAGAGACAGGTTGCCCAAAGCAGCTGCTGCTGGCAATCCTCGTTGTCATCCTGACAGAGACAGAGCAAGGAAGATGTGGCTCCAAGAATTGCCCAGTGCCAGCTGGTTGGAAAAGGTAACTAACCATTTTTGCAAACTCTGAGATGCTGGAGCCATTAAGCAAGATCCTTACCAATTACTGTAAATGTTGTAATTTTATGCAAGAGAATGTTTTAGTGGTTTTTGTGTGGTTGTGGTTTGGGGTTGGTTCTTCCTCATTATTGTCTAGGGTTAGAACTGACTGAATAATCTCAAGGATTAGGCACTCCATTCTCTTAAGATGAAAAGGCTTTTTGTAAGGATCAGGGGGAAAACCTTTGGAGCATCTAGCATACAAACTACACATTTCCCAGGACTCCAGGTGGGAGCTGAAAGATCTTTGCTTTAAGTACATTTCCCACAAAACCAACATTTGTGTTGGATCTGGGCAGGATACACGGTGCCAGTTTTCCATGTTTCCTCAAAACCACAATTATTTTAATAATATTTTAAAAAATAAATAAATTGCCGAAGCAATTGATTATGTCCTCCAATCTGAATTATGTCCTCCAATCTGAAAAGCCACGAAGGAAACTATCATTAGTGCCTTAGAGTACTGGGTCAAAACATTACATCCTAGTGTTTTCAAATGTATAAATTCAGATTCTCCCTGCAATTCCAACCTCCTTGCTTGAAAGCAAGCCTGGAATTCAGCCAGTGTTAACCCAGCCCAGGCTAAGTCTGAGACATTCAGAATTTTGTGTCTTGGTGTGGCTGGACTGCCAGAACTCCATGGACTTGTGAGGTTTTGAATGCCCATAAAGCCAGACCTGCTGTGTGGTGCTGGAGTCCTTCTTTGATATGAGGGATTCCTGGTGTGATTCAATACACAAAAATTAAGAGAACAAATCAAACAAACACCCCCCAAAGAAGTCATGCATTGTTTTCCCTTCTCCCTACCAGTTTTTCCCATTTCATAAGTGTAAATGCAACCATTACAATTCCATTAAAAACTAACAGGCCATCTGATGTTGTATCCTTACTCCAACAGGGAGATAATTCCTGTATCTTTAGTTCAACAGGAATTAAAGCCCAGTGTTGCCTAGGAAGGTGAAAGAAGTTGGTGTGGCACAGGGGAAATGTGTCTTTGATGGTGATGGCTCCTTTAGCATGGTGACCTTTTTCAGGCAAGAATATCTGCAAGTGCCCTCAAGCAGAGGGAACATTTCTGGATCTGCATAAATGCACAATAACAGCAGCCAGTGCCTGTAGCCACGAGATTTGACAGACATTATAATTTAATCTGAACTAGTGCACTGTGTCTGGAGATAATGCTCCTTTTGCATATGCACAATCCTACTATTTGCCACAAAATATCATGCTGTAGTGGTTTTAGTATCCTTCAAATGTAGAAACAGGTCACCTTTCCATGCAAATAACTATTCTGGTTGCTGTAAAGCCAAGTGTAGGGAGAAATAAGGACAACTGCAGTTTGATGTCATTAGGAAAAAACCCAGCTCCAGGCATATTTAATCTCTTGGAAAGTGGACACGTCTGGCCTGCTGGAAAAAGTTAAACATATCAAATTCTTTTAATGTGGTACTTGTGATGTTTCTAGGCGTCTTTCAGACCCATCATCAAGGTACTTGAGCATAAGCTTCCTTCAATGATACAGGAGTGTCATTGGCTTCAACAGCATTACTGAAGTGTTGCAAGGTACAGGAATGCTGAAGCACCTCACCAAACTGGAGTGGGAAATACTGATAAGAGAGGTATGATATTGTCTGAGGAGACATATCTTAGACTGACAGCAACTCTCTTTTAATTGGCCCCAGTTTCCACAGCATATTTCGGTGGCAAGGTCTTGTTACAAGTCAGATCTATTCTGCTAATGAGTTGTAGCCTAACAATTATCCACTGCCTCAACAGCAGAAATGCTCCAAGTGTATTGGTATTTGAATGCAATCCTAAATCATGATCAGCAGGGTGGCTCATGCCCTCTAACCCAGGCTGAAGATAAGGCAGAACCCAGACCCTCCATTCCCACTTTCCTGTACATCTGCCATGGCAGTAATTGAATTAAGGGGACAGAGATGTGCTGAAACCATTCCTGCTGCAGTGATTAGCGCTACTCCTGTTAAATTGGGAGTAAGAAATGTTTACAAATGTCCTTGAGGTAAAAGGACCCCTAAGTAATTACTGTAATTGCACAAGAATAGCCTGTAATTGCTGGACTTGCCAGAAAAGCCTTTCAGAGGGAATCTGTGCAGCCAATTGCATTGCTGCCTGCTCAGATCAATGTGAGGTTAGTCCCAGAGCACGGGGCAAAAGAGCAGATTATTGGCATTTCATGAGCAACAGCCCACGACTCACATCAGGCATGATCTGGACAGGGCACACCTTCAGATGCTTATGAATAATAATCATCTCCTCTGCTTATTTTTTTTCCCCCCTTCATTTTCTTCACTGTCTTTCAAAGAAAATCTTGCCATAATAGTCAGATTTCCATACATTAAACCCTTCCATTAATAACAGAATACGTGCATAATTGTTTTCAGCATATTTTTCTTATCAGTTTTAATATAAATAAGGGGAAAAAAATCAAACACAACACCTTCAGCTTATATCCAGACTGTCTTTTTTTCCTCTTTCTGCCGAAACAGACGAAATTCCTGCTAGTTAGTGCCAGTTTATATGTGAAATATTTCTTCTGCACTGTTGAGCTCCAGTTCATTTGCCCAGGTTTTCCATAAGCTCTGCTATCTGTCAGAGGCAGACTTAAGCTCTTCCCAACTTATTGAAAGTGTAGCATCTTTTTTACCAATCCATGGATTCCTATGTCTGTAACAGGAAGGAGAAGAGGAAGTCAGAACATGAGGAGCATGACCTCGCTGAAGGTGCAGAAATAACTCAGAAATGGAGCCACTGGTTTAAAAAGCATAAAAATGTGTATATTACATTTAATTATTTAAAAAATCCCGCAGATGCCCTGAAGATTCATCAGTCTTATAAAGCAAAATGAAAGCAAGTAAAATAATTAAATATTGGACTTAATTGCCAGAATTAGAACTCCAAATGTTGCTCTTTTGCCTGTGTTTAAGCATTTTCTAAATGTTCAGTTTTAGCTTGGATGGAGCCATGTACATCCAACACTTTCTATTTACTTGATGTTATTATTCACTCAGGAGATTTCCTAAGACTTGAGGTTTTAAATTTAAGGCCTCTGTCCTCCTAAATGCCGACACATTTGGAAGGTCCAAATAGAATGAGTGCTTTCTGAGGATTTTTGCAGAAGAAATAATTTATTTAAACCAAAATCTGAATTTAAATTAATATTTCCTTTTGAAGAATTAATTTAATTCTTGTTTTTCTGCAAAGCAGCATGTGCATAAAATCTTTTTAATTTTTCCCATCTTTGCTCATCCTTAATAATCCTTAGTGTACTTGTGGCATCATGATGGAAAGGCTAATGATACTGCTGAGGCTACAACTATGGGCTTCTTTCTCTTTTTCCTTGATCTGGAAAGGAGTATTCAGTGCATTCAGCACTCTGTCATTTTGTCTGACCTGTCACCCTGTGAGGTTCATTCAAATATGTCACATTTATCACTGGTCACCACAGGCATCAGCCTCTCTCCCTTGTACTGCCACTGCAGGGGATAGGATCAGAAACCAGCAATTAGGGAAGGGTTAAAGAGACCTAAGGGTACTGGTGAAGGTGACAGGAAAATTAATTTCTTTTTTCAGTTCTGGTTTGGTCTTCTGAGATCTTCAGGAAATGTTCAAAATGTTACCTCAGCAATTTACACTTGTTTTTAATGTGATTTATCATTTCCCATTTACAGCAGAGTTCCTGCTGTTCGCTTTATAGTTTTGTTTTTCATTGTTTTGGTGAGACATGACATTAATCTGCCTTCACATCTTTTATTCATTTCAACTATGCAAAAATCCCCTAATATGTATTACCACATGGACTCTGAAAAACACAACATATGATTTTAGTCAAGACTGGAGAAGTACATGCACATATATTGTGAAGAAACGTAGAATTCTCTCTTGGAAGAGACTGTGACAATATTTGTGTATTTGTAAGAGAACTATAAACCCTCTTACTGAAGGCGCCCAGTCCATTTCTGTAATTATCCCTGTGGTATTTAACAAGCCCAGAGCAGCAGACAGGAATGGGGTTTATTTACAGTTTCTTGCATTAAGCTTGTACACGAGTGATAATTTTGTTTTACACTTTCCCAAGCCAATAGAAAACAGTTGAGCACAACCTTTTTTAAGTGTTTTTCTGCCATTCTATTTTCATTAACTTCAGAAGAAAGATGGGATTGCACTGGCTCACAAATATTTGCTTGTTAGGAAATACAGTTTAGGTGTCAAGGTTTGTGGCAGGTGTAAATTGAGTGATTCCATATGGTCTTAAAAATTACTCAACCTCAGCATCAAATCCCATGTTAAGAGATTCAGAAAAAAAAAATGCAGAACAACCTAATTTAGCATCTATCACTTTAGGAACCTCTCTACCTTTTCACTAAGATGGATGAGCAGAGGGACCATGGCAGATCTGTCACATCCACGTGACTTTCTCTGGAAAGCTATTAAACTCCTCAAAATCATCCTAGAGCCTCTCATTACTCAGAAAGCAGAATGTCTGTGAGACAAGAGAAGCTCCAGGTGCTTCTTCCAGGGTTTAGTTCTTCTCTGGAATTGGCAATTTTTCCAACTAAATTAACTTAATAACTGTTAAATTTGCTTCATTCTGAACTGGTGCTGTTAAAGACAGTGGTACCATTTCTTAATTTCAACAAATAAGAACTGTGCCACCCATAAATCAAATTGTTAATGTTTGCAGGCTGTGATTGTATGAAATCACTGCCTTTTGTGGATTATATTTAAAATTATGATTGAATTCTCTTCACGAAATTCGGTGTTTTCCAAACAGTTAAGAAGGTTTAGTCCTGGGTTCTAGTTTTCCTCTAAAAAAGTGAAGCAGGATCTTTCAGTGTGTAGAGAAACCCACCAGTGCCCCACAGGCAGCTGCTTCCCTCAGCAGTGAGAGAGGAAAATGGGACACTCAGTCACCTTTACTTCATGCTTTGTTTTAATCTAACACCTTTGCTCCATTGTTATTCCTCCAAAATACAAATAAACACCACACTGAGGAGAGCATTGCCAAGCACTATAAAGAAATTATTTGGTTTTTAACATAAAATAGATTTTAATGCAAGTTGATCAGACCTCATTAGGTTGCAGGAAGAAGCAGTGAGGGGCCATGCAGATAACCAGAGTCTCCTTACTGGGTTTTAAAGTGGGTAAAAAAGAGATTGTTCATATTCCATATGCAGTGTGGCAAACTAAATCTGTGCAATATCCAGTGACAGGAGTGGGAATGGATAGGATGCTGGCAATGATGTCCTAGCAAGTGCTGGTCAGGCTGCTTTTCTGACAGCTTCCACATTGTCCTGAGCCTCTTGGAAATCTGCTGGGCTTTCCATGTGACTTGGACAGCTGTGCTGTTTGCAGAATCCAGTGAACTCGAGCAGTACCTTTCCCCTTTTCCAGGGGCTGTACTGTTGGAGGTTAATTTCTCACAAATGGGATGGGGCTGCCAGGTGAGGCATCACGAGCTTTTATTTCAGGCACCGGTCTCAGGTACAGACACGGGAGATGGCACGAGCTCACATCTGCCACGAGCAGCTCAAGATCTCTTTGTTACAGAACATTTTCTAAGTTTTTCAGCCAATAGCATATTGCTAAAGCTTACAGACAGTTGTTCTATCCAAGCACACCTGTTTCAAACAGTGCTTGCTTGTTTGCTTTCTATTAAAATTACACAATACTCTGTTTCTAAGCTTAAAACTTTCTGCTATCTTGGTAAGAATATTTTTCTGCAGTCTTAAGGTCTAGCTTGGCCAAGCCTAAAAACTCAACTAGTGTTTCATGTCCTTGTATGTTGTATTATTGTCTCTCCTTTACTTTCAAGCCTTGCAGCTGTAGCTAGCTCCAAGTTCTCTGCTTTTTCTTTTCTGAGGCCTATTTTCACAGCTTCTGAAAGTCTTTTTACCTTTACTGTTTCCCACATTATACCATTTTCAATTTAATTTTAGAATAAGAATTGGGTAGAAAACCGATATGGAATGTTACAGCTTTTTTGGTAAGTAATGATGTTTAAATTTGATCAGCTTATTGCTAAATGCCATTGTGTAGTCTGGCAAGCTTGGTTCTGCACAGTTAGCAGCTAGATATTGTAAACACTGAGAAAGATTAGAAATTCTGAAATGGAAATCTCAAAAAGAAAGAGAAAAAGGAATGTTAAAAAAGCCAACACATCAAAACACTCCAGCTGTCAAATTTCACGGTTCCACAAGGAATCTTGAATCTCAGCTTATTGTCTTGGGTTTGTAGTTTTTTAATTAGACTTTGAATTCTAATAAGATGAAGATATGTTTTCCTAATTTTTTTTTTTTTAACAGAAATTAGTTTTCAGGCCATTAGCATATTTATATAAGTAATCCTGACAGCGACCCTTAGTTAAAAATTCACAGTAAATTAATTTTTCCCTTCATATACATGGTATTTTAGGGCCATTTTAATTATCCATAATAGAACACAACATTAGTCTGACAGAAATTCTCACAGGAAAAATATGATATATTTATATCAATAAATTTAGCTGTGTCAATTTGACTTGAAAGGAACACTTAAGCCTAGAATTCAGTTCACCCAAAGTTTGAGCATTTGAGTCACATCAGGGGAGTGGAAGAATAGTAAACAAAAGTGCAATATCTTTTCCCCTGTATAGGCAGATTTTGAGAATTTATAAATGTTTCCAATATCTTCATGGCTAGATACATAAAGCTTTATTTTAATTAGGTGGGCATATGTGAGGTTACATTAGGAAACAAAATACAACCAATGTATGTATTCAATACGCTGTTCTGCAAGCACAGAGATAATAATTGGAAAAAAAGAATTTATTTCCACTACAAGCAGCACATCATAATGTCAGAGAAATGGATACAAATGCTGACGTTTCCCAGAATTAAGTAGGATTTTAGCTTTAGCTCTCCATCTCTTTCCCCACTAAGCAAAATGAATATGTAATGCCTCAAAGACAGTAGTTTCATATTGTAATCTTTGATACCAGCATGATTAGGAAAAGCATTAAGAAAGGTTGATTTGTACACAGTGCTGAAAAATCAGTACTGCCTGGGAGAATGGTAAATCATGGAAGCTGCTCTTAAAATAGAATTGCTGATACCTATATATATATATATATTTATTAGCACTATATTTTTTATATCTATATTTTTAGCACTATTTTTTATTTGGGTTTTTTTGCACACCATAAAAATTCCAGATGGAATTAGCATTAGGAAAAATTCAGAAGACCAGCCATTGAGAACAGTCATAGCTGGACCCAACTTGGAAATATTTTTTTTGTATTTAAAAAAAAGAACCATTTTATATTCAGCCCTTTGCCTGCTGACCTGGATTCTTGCTCAGATGGAGTTGTGGTGTGAGAGCAAAACCATTCCACGTTCCTTGGGTGTGTAGTGGAGTAGGACCATAAGCTGGAGGCAGTTCCTGGGTTCAGACTTGTCTATCTGTCTTGCTTAAGGACTTGGCACACTGTTTAATCTTGGAATGAATGGAACACGGTATGGGTTGTGTTTCCACGTATACTAATACAGGGATTAAATGCTACAAGAGTCTCTGCTAAGGCCCAGGCAGATCAACTCGTTTGATCTTTGCAGGCAAAAGGAATAACAAGTGGAGCTGCAGGAATTCAAGGTGACAGAAAAACATTTGGGAGGCTTTTAGATTTGTCAGCCTAGCTGTGTGTAAATAATTTCCTTACTTTACAGGAAGATTTCATCTCTGCACGTATAGCAAAAGAGGACAAGGAATTATTTTCCCAGGTAGTATTTCTTTTTGGAGGCATGAAAAGTTTCTCGATTTGTCTAAGGATGAAATGAAGCTTTTCTGAAGTTTATCATCTAATAATTTGGGCATTGAGTTTACCTGAAGTTTGGTTCCTGGACCATGACACTTGCCCTGTCCTCAGCAGGGCTGAACAAATAACTAGAGGAGAGGAGGGGAGCAAGAACTGGATCAACATTTAGGATGAAAATGCAAAAAGTCACATTTCAACTAAAGGAAAACTTTATGGAAAAGATGCATTTGAGAAAGCATTTTAAACATGCTTTGGATGAAGGGCTTGATAAAAACACAAAATAAGTAAAAAAAAAAAGTTACATAATATTTGCTGCATGGTTAAAAACAGGCTAAGTTCTTGCTTAACTAACTCAAATAGAATGACAGTGCCACTGCACTGTTATCTTTAAGGCCAGCTTGTTTCAGAAATATGAAACTCGGGCTCAATTCCTCCATCAGCCTGAGGGCATTTGAGTCCTGCCCAGGAACTTGCTCAAATCATGATGAAGTATCTCATTTAAAAAATTCTTATTTTTCTATGAAACATTACTTATCAGCCTTTTTCTCATTGTGAAACATAGTGCAGGGAATCTATAATTTTTTTCTGGTTCATGGAGTTTACCATCTTCTTTTTCCAGGAGAAATCAGCATATTTTAATATTAAACAAAAAATCTTGACTTAATAATTTCCCTGTGTATTAAGCTCGTTAAGAAGTATCAGGCTCTGCAATCCATTAATTTAATATGAGTAGTGTCGCCTGCAGTAACACTGCTGAATTTATTGCCCAAAGATAACATTTGGATAACGAGACCATTCCTTTACAAATGACTTCTGAAAAAAAAAAAAAAATCACTGCCCTTATAGAACCTAATTTAATTAATCTTCTAGATGAAGGCAGTAGTCAGTAGGAAGAATTTGATGTTTAGCCCCACTCTTATGAATATTAATATTTAATAAAATGATTCTTCGGTTCATGAATGCTATAAATGAGCATTCAGAGCTCCAGCCCTAAAAGTTACCAGCAGTTATTTCTGTTCCTGTGTTCTTGTAAACAACACAGCTTTCCTGCATTTGATTTAGACAAAATCTTAACAACAGAATTTTGGTGCAACTCTTGTTTAAGGGAGAAAAGCATTAATGATGAGTGTGGACTGTGCCTGCCCTGAGCTGCACTTGGAGATCTCTTCTCTATGTCTGCATGTATGATTTGAGAACTAACATTAACAGCACCTGACATTTTAAATTGTGTAATTATACTAACATACATAAATAGAAGTACAGCTTTTAGGTTGCTGTGTGAACAGAAGCCAATTTGACTATAAAAACCATGTAAAAAACCTTTTTCTTTAAAAGACCAGAATGAACCAAGCTTTATCTTTTCACGTGTGCTGCATTAACATGAGCAAATCATTAAATCTGTCTCCCACATTTCACCCCTTCAGGGACTCCCTTATGACACACTGAATTCCTAAATCTTATGATATCCAGCACTGAGACAGCTTCAGCTCCCATGGGGGGGGCTGTACACTGAAGCTGGACCCAACATCTGCCCACACAAACAATTTGCTATTTATGTGTGAGATTTACACCTTGGGATCCAGCAAGAATTGCAGGAAATAGATGAGCAAAAAATGTGGTGCTTATGCACTCTTAATTTTTGAAAAAAAAAAAACCAAATTAATTAATTCTGTTCAAATCACCTCATAAATGCCAGAAAGAGATGGGGCATTCATGTGACCCTCAGAAAGGGCAGCATCCCTCAAGCAAGATTTCATGAGCTTTTTGTGACTTAATTCAGTGTTTCCTGGAAATGTGGAGAGATCAAGTATTCATGGACCAGCACGTTCCTCCTCTCATATGTAAAGTACTTTGTAAAAAAATTAAAATCAAAACAGTTATTTTGCCTGAAAGTGCTCTTGAAAGGCATAAAGATATCTAAAGCTGAATCTGAAATGGTTCTCCTAAGGAAAGGAAAAAAAATAGCTGAGAGAGTTTGCACTCAAATCTGAATGTTCACTGCAGTTTTATGTTCTCTGAGCCATTCTCAAAGAGCAGCTTCAAAATTTCACATTTTCCTTCAAGAGGGATCCACTTTGGTTGTACAAGATTTCTATGGATTAGTGTGAGCCTGCTGGATCTCCACCTGCTTCCGTGTGCAGTCGTGTTTCAAACTATTTGGCTGAGTATTTTTGTTTTCTGGAAGTCACGTTTCAGACAAATTTCTCTTCTTTAGACTTGCTTGTTGCAGTGTGGGTGAAGGAAGGGAATTCACTTGCTCTCTTTGCTAATTGTATCACAGCAAATGGTTCCAAAGGCCTTACAAATGCTCCCTTAGTAACACTGGAGCAGGAATAAAGGGAGGAAATTGTCGCTGGGGTAGTGTGACAGATACAGAACTGAGCAACTTTCCTTAAGCCTCTGGAGATAATTACTTCAAGCTCAATAAAGTACATGTCCTCCTCAGTGTTGCAGCAATATTTTAGATGATTTCGTGCTTTGTTATCAATTTAGTTCCAGCCCCCAGAAATGCTGTATAATATTGTGGCTACATATAGAATTATAAGATGTTTTTAGAATAAAATGTGTTCATTTAAACAATTGATTATTGGAGGAGCCAGCACCATTTTTTGCAGTACCCTGGTTATGTATGAGAAGTCTCTGAAATGTGGCAAGTTAGTAATTTGTGCCAGCAGGCCTGTAACTGAGCTCTAACATTTCTAGAAGGAGGTAAGTTTAAATGTTGCATCTTCTAGAAACACACTTCTGCACTTGTTACTGTGACTGAGCTAGATGCAGCTTGTGAAGGAAAGATGGAGAAAGGAACAGTCTGAATTTGGATTTCTGAGATAATACAGGAGCAAAAATCATTCCTGTTTCTGTTTTCAAAATGGTGTATCCTATTACTTTGTCATATCAGAGAATGTTTGTACCAAAGCGTGGTTTTCATTCCTGAGCTCTCTATTTCACGTGCTGTGAAGAATTCCCCCGAGCCCGATGAGGGTGAGTTGCTGTAGGTGATTTTTAAATGCTGTTCCACTTGCAGGGACTGAGACACTTCTCTTTTCCTGCACAGGGCAGGCTGTGTGCTCCCCTTGGATATGCTGGAATACAGAACCCTTGTGCCACGGGTTTCTGTATTGCTGATTAATACAAAAAACATTGGGCCTTACCCAGAACAATCCTGCATCTTCATTCTGTGTTTGTAGAGATGATGGTTTTTATGTCCAGACACTGAGGCACTCACGTGACGTGGCTATTTTCCAAAAGCTAAGAAATAATGAAAAATGATTTGAGTGATCTATTACAGCTGTTGCAGCAGTGCAGCAGCTGCTGATCTGCAGTTTGGTGAGAGATGAACAAAACTGCTCTAGTTGCCCGCAGAACACAGATAAAAATTAATAAGAAAGTGGGAAGTTAAATAATGAATGAACATCCAAAGGTGAGAAGGTGAAAGATGAGCAGCAACACATTCTGGTGTTAGAAGTTAAGTTAGAAATTCTAATCACTCATTAAAATAAAGGGTAAAGAGTCTAAGAGTTTGCTCAGAGCAAAGGGTTAGTAAAACTTGAGCAGTGACTTCAAATACTAATAAAGGAACTGAATCCCTTCTCTTCCCCGGTATTTTTCTTGCAGACTCACTACAGAGTTCAGCTAGTTGCAGATAAAAGCTGTTCTAAAGTAGCAGCATGGAAATACAGACTGTGAATTCAGCCTTTAGAAAGGAGTTGTACACATTCAGGCCAACAGGGATGGAATACAGCATAAACACTCGTAGCCAGATACAAAAGCAGGAATTCTGCTGTTCACCTGGAAGATTCCACAGAAACCCAGAGCTGGCCAGAGCAGTTGGTCAAATAAGCTCCCACCTCAAACCAGAGCCCAGGGTGCTGACAAAACACACAACAGGAAAATAAGCATTATTTCCAAAGGCTTTGTTGGTTACTCTCTCTTGGATGTGAACCTTGTGTTGTTTGTCACATGGAAGTTGGTTCTAGTGAATTTTCCTCCTCTGCACCGGCCTGTGTAGAGCCCAGAGGGTCAGCTGGGACAATTCCTGTTCTCCCTGCTGGAGCCACATTATCCTGTCCTACACTACGTTATCCTGCAGCAAAGGCTGCCGGGCAAACCCGAGCTGGCACGGTCTCCTTAGGTAGAAAATTGGTGCCTTCTTTCTTTGAAAACACTGGGATGCAGCGTGCTCTGAGCAGGCTCTAAACCCCTGGCAGGGGAGCCCTCAGAAGCCGGGCCGTGTCCTTCGCTCCGCTCCCCTGGGGCTCCCCGGGCACGGCTGCGCTTTGCTGGTCCCTGCGGGGCCCACACGGACGGACAGACGGCACCACTGGGTGAGGGGACAGCCCGACATGCTGGGGAACGCCGGGGGGAGATGGGGGTGTCAGTCTGAAATGGTGGGTGAGGGCTGGAGCAGGAAACAGCCCCCATTTCTTGTCAGGCTGTGGGACACCCCGCCATTTTGTGTCAGGCTGTGGGACATGCCACCATTTTGTGTGTGTCTTTGGGGTCACTCCTCCATTTTGTGTCAGGCTGTGGGGTCACTCCGCCATTTTGTGTCAGGCTGTGGGACATGCCGCCATTTTGTGTCAGGCTGTGGGGTCACTCTGCCATTTTGTGTGAGTCTTTGGGGCACTCTTCTATTTTGTATCAGGCTGCGGGACCCTCCACCATTTTGCGTGAGTGTGTGGGGTCACTCCGCCATTCTGTGTCAGGCTGTGGGACCCTCCACCATTTTGTGTCAGGCTGTGGGGTTACTCCGCCACTTTGCGTGAGTGTGTGGGGTCACTCCGCCATTTTGTGTCAGGCTGTGGGGTCACTCCGCCATTTTGTGTCAGGCTGTGGGGTCAGGCCTCCATTTGTGTGTGCGAACAGAAGCTGACTGAGGCTCAGGCAATGAGGCTAGAGCAGTGACATCCCACCTATGCTGATCTAGCCCTGTTCCCCCCACACTTCCCACCTGCTTGTTTGGAGCCACTCAGTAGTTCCTCGGGTCTCCTACAGGGACAAAGAGGAAGTATTAACTCTTCTGTATTTAATATGCAAAACAGTTAAAATAGCATATGCCGTATGGTTCTGCTTTCCTTACGAGAAAGGATGTGGTGAACTGAGGATGAAGCCCAGAGTTTGCTGATATTTTAAGACAAGATGATCAGATTTTAATTCTTCTCTATCCAAAACTTCAGTACGAGGCAAATGTACTGAAATAAATGCCTTTGAAGATGCTGAGGAGGTGACATTTGTTATTAACAGAAGTTTCTGAGCCTTATCTGAGGTCCCTGCAGCAGTGATGCCGGAATGCCCATCCTGAGCTGTACATCCTCCGTGGAAAAACCTGGGATGGAAATGTACTGTGTGTGTTTTTCAAGGGTTCTGTGTTTTCTCACAAAGTGAAATCACTTATGGCTTCCCCTCTGGATTATATATCCTTAAAAGCAGCCATTTGTTTATAAATTGATAAAAGTCCAAGGCTTCTATTTCATAGATAAATAGTTTTTTATTTGGTAGTAGGTGATTATTCGTATTAACACATAAAATAGCATTCTTAAAAGGACCAGTATTTTCTGACTGAAAAATTTTCCCATTATATTCACTTTGAAGACAGAACTACACAAAGACTGGAGTTATTACTCAACAGATGCTTATCACATTGCTTAATGCTTTATTTTATGGTCCATATTCATCATCCTTTTTGATTCTTAAACCTACCCCCAATTCTTTTTGAACATCTGGTGTTCTTTCTCTTCTGTGTTTGTAAGAGAATAATTTGTTTGGGTGAAGTGTTTCTTCTTGTAATGCTCTTAATCCCCATGGGTGCTTGGATCATAGGCAGGAGAGCAGGACTTCTGAGATTAAATGGAGAGAGGTTTGCAAGATTGTTTCATTTTCTGATAAATATAAATTTGTTCCTTCAATGACTTCATCTGTTGGCAGCCTTTGACATAAATCTGCTGATGTTGAGAACTGTCCTTGCTCATAAAATTGTTCTGTAAACTGTTGATTTGTATGCAGATTTCAAGGTAAATTAAAAAAAAACAACCCAACCAACCAAACATAGATTTCTCTTTAGAGTGGGCATTAAACTGAGAAATATAGTTCATTGCAAATTTAAAAACAGTTCAACATATTCTTGCATTAGGTGTTTGCCACATGCCAAAGCATATAGATTTGATTTTTGGTAAGCACATGGTAGTGTGGGCATAATGTCATCTGAAGAGCTCCTGCAGCAGCTCTGAAAATACAGCTTCCATTCTTGACATCTCAGTAGAAGGCTTTAAAATCCTTTCTTCCTTTTTAAGTTGTAGGTATTTTCTAATACTTTTGAATTATGTTAATTTAATTTTTTTTTTTTTTACTGTCACATTTGACAAAGAAATCGGAAGTCTGGGAACAGTGAAGTCTTTTTACAACTTTTCATTTTGCTGGTGCCTTGTCATCCTGAAACACATAGAGACTTACATGTATTTTCCCAAGAGATTGCCATTTCTCAGACAAGTGTTGAAATAGTAGTTGACGTCTTTAATAAGAAAATGGAGCCAGGGAACAGAATGAGTAAATTAAAACAGCCATTAATTTGATTCTAGATTTGATCTTTTAAAAAAAAAGTCTAGGCATGAATTAGTATTGAAAGAACTGCCATGATTACATATTTAATCTTTGCTTGGGATCAGATATTTGAGATAACTTATAATTAGCCAGCACAAGTTCCACAGCTGGATGTTGACATAAATAATAGGAAATTGAGAAGTGAATCAAATAGCTAAATGGGAGATGGACTGTTTATGAAACAATTTCAGGGTACAGTTGTTTTGTCCTCTGCAGAGAATGGGGAATCTTTTTTTGCATATAAAGTACAATTTGACTTTAAAGTATTTTTAATTTTTTCCAAGTTGGTATTTTTATTTTCTTCTTAAGTGGGTTAACTTTAATAATTGCTTATTGATTGCTCATAAGCAGTGGCTCATATGCAGTGTTCATATCCTTTGATTGTTTGTGTTTTCTGCCTTGTTAGATCACTATGGATTTATTCCACATCTTCTCCACTCTTGAGCTACCTGAAAAAATTTGGGTCATCTGTAAATTTTGTCTTTGTATTCGTATAAAATACCTGAAAGAAGTCATGCCAACAGCATTTATTCAGATTGTTTGGCATTCAAGTTTTCACTTGTTAAATACAGGGTTAAGTGGATTTAAAGTATCCATGTCAGCTTCTTCTGTGTGACATAGGCCATTTTCCCAAGAAATGATGGACTAAAATGGGAAAATATATTAGCAATTTGTAAATATTTCTGTATTCTTTCTTTACTGGAAAATCTAGTCCTTGTGGATGCAGAGAATAGTTGGGAAGGGCTGGAACAGGTTCAGAGAGACAGAAGTAACATTGTCCTCCCCAATATGATTTCTGGAGGTCCAACTTTTAACCCTGGTTAAATGGAATTGCCAAAATATGGAAGTGTCATTGAGGGATTTGATTTCCTTCCAGGGTAGGTCTCTTAACCCTGCCGTGGTGAGAAATAAGGGAATGTGTGATTGGACTCTAAAAGTTTGCAGAGCAGGGAATAAGGCTGAGACATGAGTAATGTGTGGAATGAGTGATGTCGACACGATGACTTCAGTGACAGCTGGACACAGCCATCCCCTAATTTCTGTGCTTCAGAGTCTTTGTACACTATCACACGAGTTTCCAGCAAAATTCTGGAAGCAGTCAGGGTTTTGGAACCGCAGCTACTGGATGCTATAACTCACTGCATTTAGCATTTAACTGGCACAAGCTGAGTAAGTGTCTAACAATGTTTCTGAATAAAAAATGGAACCATAACTCGGCACATTTCCCAAAGATCACTGAGGGGCAGCGTTTCTATCACTGAGCAACTTCATTTAATTAGAGTTTTTAATTCTGTTGAAGATAACTTTGCATTTTTAACCTCTGATGTCCTTGTTCTGATCTGATCCTTTTGTTCAGAAGTTATCACCAAACAATACATTTTAGTAATAACAGTACAAACAACAGCTAACATTCCTTTTCACTGAGATTTGCTCAGCCACTGTCTGTCCAGTTCTTGTAGGTTTCTCAGGTCAGTTTGGAGGAATACAGGGAAGCCTGGCTTTGATCTCTTCTTCATTTTTATTGTTTGTGAGTAGGTCTGTGAAGAGAAAAAGTAGGGAATGTGGGGTTTTTGCAGCAGGAATTAATTTCAATTTACTTGTAAAATAAGGAGTATTGAGTAAGATGTTGGTTTCAAAGCCAAGTGCTGTGGTGACAGAGTTATGGGATTTTTCACATGAAGTTTTCTTCTTCCTTTTGGTCTCTCATTAAAGCTGTTCCCACTCCAAGGGCTGCTTCCTTGCCTCCTTACACCTGTGTGAGCACACCAGCTGCAAGACATGATCTAGTAATGACCCAGTGTCTGCCTGACCCTGCTGCTGCAGCTGGCTTTTACTGAAGCTGCCTTTCCAGGGCACTGTTCTTTGTGCAAAAGTGGAGCAAAAGAAGAAATCTGGAGGTCCCTGACAGTACCAGCACAGGTATAATTTTAAATTGATACTGGGACTCTTTTCACTGGAGTGGCCTTTGGGCACAGATGATTTTGGTTTTGCTAAACTGTGTTGTATGCCACTGGATGCAAATGCTTAAAACTCATATAGTTCTGAGAATATAGGTTTTGCTCAGAACATTAGACTCTGCTTTTTCTTTCTTTTCTCCATTCTTTTTGGTAAAAATTTGTAGCCAAATTGGGGTATGTCATTCAATACAGAATAGTGAGAAATGTCACATAGTTTAAACCAAAGCATTTCCTTGAGCTAAAGGTACCTAAATTTAACCAAAATATGTGGGTGAGGGATCTGCTAGGATGCTTTGTATCAGATCCAACTTGGCCCTGCTCTAAAACAGTAATGGTAAAGGTGAAAAACAAGGCTCATTAGGCATCGGGAAATGAAATCTAACAGATTGAGGCTAAAAATTTTTAATGTTTACAAAAACATTGAGATTTATAAAATGTTTGTTCAGATGGCACAGCACAAATATTGTTTAGAAGCCATAATAAATTTTCTCTCCAATGAGTTTCAAATAGTCAAGTCCTATATAACATATTTATCCTTCTGTGTAAAACTGCATCCCAAAGTGTCAACCCGGTGAGACAGTTGTGAAACTTAGCTTTTTATTTCTGTTTATTATGTGATACATTATAGTAGAGTCTCATGGAATAGTTATAAACTAATTCCTAATACTACTTGCCTGAATTATTCATTTGCTGTGTTGCTGCCATGATTTTGGGGCAAAGGTGATAATGCTTAGCTATATTTCTAGCAGTTCTTAAAAATAATTGGATTAGAAATCATGCGCTGAGAACCTACTTATTATTCTCAACGGTTCAAGACTTATGTAAGTGTTTTAATCAAGCAGTAAATGATGTATATCTCAGACTGCTTTCTTTCCTGGGTTTTGAATTGCAATTTTGTAAGCACTTGAGCACAAGCCTTTTCATTTGGCACAACAAATTTCGGTAGCATTTTGCCTTTCTCATTGCTCACGGTAGGAAATAAAGCCCAGCCGTTAACGTTCGAGGCAAGGCACACTGTGCTGTCTGAAGGAATACACAGAATTAGCGCATCACTGAGCTAATGCGACCAGAATTAATCCAATACACCTGCAGAATGCCTTATCCAAATCACCTCTAATTGATTGCTGTTGGTGTTTGTCTGGCTGGCTAATGGGAGTTCCAGTTTTTAGCCAGGCAAACAGCCCCGGTGTGTGTTTTCATTGGAGCTGCCGTGCCCGCATCGTGCCGCACCTGCCTGCTCCCCAAATGCTTGTTAGAGCTGTCATATACTTTTATGAGGATGGGAGCAATGTTCTGGCAAGCCAACTTGACTCAAATTGTGCTGGGACGTAAAACATGAAGAGCCACTTGTGATTGCAAAGGCAGTAAGTCTAATTTGATTAGGGCTCCGGTGACGCGGCGTATTATGGACGCCGTTTGTCATTCCTCACCAGCGCTCCTGGAAGGATCGTGTGGAGAGGAGGCGCAATTGGAGCCCGTGAACATGGCTGGCTCCTTCCTCACTCAGAGGCAGGGCAGGGAAATGCCAGGAGATCCTGATCAGTATTGGCTTGAAAAGAAAAAGGAGCAGGAAAGGCAGCAACCAGGAATTAATTCCTGCCTTCTGAAATGAGGGAAAAGTTTTCAGTGGGAGAGTGAATTTTCTCCTTAAGAATTATTGCTGCCTGTCAGCTACTAAAAACTCCTCCATTTCAAACCCCCAAACTCTGTTCTTAAACAAGGGGGCCTTACTTTCAGAAAATGTTCTTAAAAAAGCTTCCGTGAGTTGCCAAGCAACTGGGCTTGGACAAAAAGGCCAGAGCCTCAGTTTGTGTATTTCTGGGTGTACATTTGAATATAATATCTCGCCTCATTCTTCATAGCTGTGGGTCAGGGTAGTGTCTGTCAGGCAGATTTGGTGTTGTGTACAGAGAATTGAGCTGATTAAATGATTTTACAGAGATGGCAAACATTAAATCTTCTGTCAGTGTCAGTACGATAACAAAAATATCTCCTTGTGGCAAATTGCAAGGGTTTTAAATTTTCCATCTCAAGCATCCCACTGGAATATGTGTTTGAGATTTTGTTTTCTGCCTTTTAGTTTTTAAGTGTCTTAGTGTATAAACATTGCTGAAAGGCTTCATTAGCAGGCTGTGAATAGTGGGAGAAGGAGCAGGATGGAAAAGGGCCCCTTATCCTCTTTTTATGGTTTCTTATTTTCTGGAAATAGTCTCTCTCTTTTGACACCAAAGTATCTTTGGGATCACTACTGAAATAGCTGGAATTTTTTGCTACTGGACTTCCATGAAAAGATGACAGTTTGAGAGAAATTTAGGATTTTCATAATTATATAAAACAATTTAAACTGTTTCAAAAGTATATAATGTGTATATATATACTTGTATTCTTCATTTATGGTAAAAATGGACAATGCTATTTAGATTCTTGTATTTTAGAACAAAAATAAGTATTTATAGTTGGGTGAATTTCTCCTAGAAGCAATATATGCCATGGGATACTCCTCAGTGCTGATGGATTAGAGCTGCTTTGAGAAATAAGGGTACATGAATAGAAAGATATTTATGCTTGGGAAAACACATGGTATTTGAGATATCAGCAGCTTGGTGTTGCCTCCCTGAGAGCTCTGCTCAGTCTCTTCTGTTGGCAGTCGTTCTGTCCGGCTTCCATTAGCTCCCTTGCAAGGATCATGCTTAAAAGTTATGGGAACAAGCAGAGTTAGGTGAAGGAAGAGCAGAAACCTGTATCATCAGTAAAATGTAGATGTTGAGTTCACCTTCCAGTGACTACTGGTAGAGAAACAGCCTTAATTCTTCAAAAACCAAGTGAGGTCTATTCTTATGGTTTTGGAGGTTTTTTTGATAAATAAATTATACTGGATATTTTCAGCAGACTATTACAGCTTTTGAAGCCTTGTGACGTGCATTTTAATTATCACTTACCATCCAGTGCATTGAATGTTTTTAAGCTTGTTCAATGCATTAAAGCAGCAACTGTGTTAATAAATTCTTGTCACTGATTGATATTAAATGACATGTAGCAAACAGTCCATCTGTCTCTCTTCTGTCATCCCATGCCTTCTTTCATGTTTCCATTACAGTCTGTAACAAATAGTCTGATCATTTTGAGTGACATTTGGGATCTTTATTGGACAAGACATTTCAAGTGCATCTGTCTTCTGACTGGTTTATAGCTGACAGCTCTAACAACAGCTATTACCTTCCAAAAGGCTGCATTCAGAGTGTTCTCCATATTCCCCTTCCTGATTTTCTCTCTGTTTTTCAGAGTGCCTGTTGCTGACATTTCTTGATTGTGTATTTTTTTAAATCCAGACACTTCTCTTCTGTGACAATGATGATGATTTTATCACTATTATGCTGAGTCCAGCTGTATCTGCCTCTTGCTCCAAGGTTAATCCTGGTCTCTTTAGTCTAATCCTGGTTCTGTCCTCCCTTAGCCTTATCACTTCTGCCCCCTCCTATCTCTGCGGGTGTAGCTTTATTCAGTGCTCGGATTCTACAACTTGTGTATTACACAAAGTCCCTGGAAGCCCAGAGCAGAACATCTAAAACCACCAACTCAGCAACAGTGCTGGATGTTTCTAATCCATGAGCCATTACTGAGAGCCACACCATGCTCTAGTTGCTCTTATCTCAACTTGCCGTGAAATTTCTGTGCAATTGTTGTCAAATCTGATGGCTAAACTACAAAGTCGGCAGGAGGTTTTCTTCTTATCCATTCAGTTCATGTTATGCAAGAAGCTGAAGACAGAACTTCTCCTTCCCTCAGTTACCCGCTCGCCATCCCACTGTTGGATTTAATTCTGCTAATTTTAGCCATCCATTTTTTGGGTGGCCACAACAGTTGCCCTTGTCTAATCTCCTCATTCCCTACTGCTGGGAGGTGACAACTTGCGAGGAGTCACACTGCTGAGATAAGCCTGATGCAGAAAATTATTTAAATTGGCAATAATCCTTTCTTGTGTGCAAACCAAGCCTTAATGCTGCTGCTGAGGATGTGCTGGATTAATTCCCTCTGTCTGCATGAGCAGAGGCAGCGGCCTGTGCACAGCAGAGCCAGGGAAACGCCTCCAGCCGCACCGCCTCAAACCGGAGCTCTGTGCCGTGCCGGGGCTCTTGCCGTGCAAACCATGACATCCTGAGCTAAGAGATAATGGATACACTGACAGGGGATCTCTTGAAATCCCAGCAGTGCTACGATAAATACAGCAGCACCTGAATACCTTCCTGGAGCATCCAGGCCTACTTTCTTTCTTAACTTTATTTTGAAAGTTTCTTTGAGTATAATTGAGCTGGCTTTAAACCATAAGCAAATTTTGCACTTAAGGTGAGCAGTAGCCATTAAGAACACAGTCAAGCCATTGTCATAGGCAAATCAAACTTAAAATTAATTTTAATTTAGCTATGTGGAAGTAAAAATAGAGTCCTTACCTGTTTCCCTTGTTCACATCAGCCAATTTAGTCCACAAGTGCAGGACGGTTATTGCTGGTGACTAAACTCTAGTGTGATTTATTGTGTTCTGAGGTTGTACTTCTCTACTTTAAATATTAATATTTCATTATTACAACACTTCATTTCCAACTCTTGTGGAGAACGCAGCATCATACATATTTAATTTTTCAGGCAGACACATTCCCTATACACAGGAGTTTTTAATGGCTTATTCCCTTGTTCCAGAGGGAACCCTGGGCTGGAGGATTGGGTGGCTCGAGGGGCCGAGCAGAGCTTTCCACTGGATCCCAGCTCTGCTGGGAGCCGTCACTCAGCTTGGTAGAGCCATCGGGTCAGTGTGAGTAAACATTGTGGTCTCTCCCCTCACAGGCAGTTGTGTCACACACACACTTAGGTGGGTGTAAAGTGACTTGCAGTGGCACCATGGCATTTTGTAGCTGTTGTTGCTCTAAAAGGTGAACCATCTTCAATCAGATCAACTCATTTCCTTAA